CTCCCGCAGCTGGCGCCTTCTTTCCTCCTCCTCCTGAGCCTTCCGTCGCTGCTTCATCTCCTCTTCGAACCTGTTCTCCTCATGGCGTCTCTTCGCCATGCGCACTTTGCGCCTTTCCTCCTCCTGCCGCTCCTCCTCCTCCTGTGCCTTTCGACGAGCCTCCTCCGCCTGGAGAGTCGCCTCCCTTGCAGCTGCAGCCTCCTCCCGCGCAGCCACCGCCTGCTCCCTTGCCGCAGCAGCATCAGCGTGGGCCTCGTCAAAGTCAGAAGTCTATGCCCTGAACCTTTAAACTGTTCCCAAAACCCTAAACCCTAAACCAAAACCCTGAACCTAAACCCTAAACCCCAAATTCAGATGGGTATTATTTTGATTTGGCTGCGCCGTTACTATTAAATACTTTCCTGGTTGACAATATCACAGAGCTGGGGTGGAGGAACTGGAATGCCTGCAAGCAGCCTTCCGTGCGCGATCTTCCTGCCGCTTGACGTACGACTCTTTCGAATTGCGGTTCGGCGGGTTGTGCTTCTTTTTCGCCATTGCTCCGCCGATGCAGACTGCAGGAGATGAAGCTATGTGTGTGGTAATGGTTGTTGTAGTACTTATTCTTGTAGTTGTTGTAGTACTAGTAGAAGTACGTACTAGTGCTGTTTAGGTTGCAAGGCGGGGTTTAGTAAATAGGGTGTGCAGGGTCTAAGGTATAAAGTGGTAGGCTTAGGGCCAGGGTTGAGGGTTTCCGTTGCGATTGCAAGATAGGGTTTAGGCTAGGGTCTGTAGTGTAAGGGTCTAGGGTATAAAGCAGGTGGCTCAGGGGATAGGGTTGAGGGTTTAGCTTGGGATGGGATTGCTTTGAAATAATCTATATACAGTTTGGTTTGATCAGAAGCTGCTGCTGCCGGTTGGATAGTGGGAAGAGAGACCAGGGCTCCAATTTGGGGTTGAAAAGCGGGCAGGAATTAGGGGTTTAGAAAAGGCAGACCTGTTTCATTCTGGCATGTAGAGCTGGATGATGATGCCATTCACAGGTAGGAGACGACAAAGTGTTGTAATGCAATCCATTGGGTGAATGGGCAAGAAGTTACCAGGCCCCCTGAATCAACGTGGATGGACACCCTGCTGATGTAGAGCTCCAACTGCAACCAGAAACCCCAGCTCTTCTGAAATGACCCTAACTAAGCCCTTGACACATCCACCACCCTTAAGACTTAGGAAACCCTCACAAAGGACCCAGGGGTTTTGGGTTTAGTTCAGGGTTTAAACCCAAGCCAAACATGGACTAGCCTGGACCCGTCAGGAACAAGCTACAGACCCACCCACCTACGGATACGCCCACCAACTTACACACACACACACACACACAGCATCAAGGTAGGGTAAGCCTTTTGGAGTGAGCCCTAAGCCCTGAACGATCCTACAGCTTAATCCCCCACCCTGGATGTCCTTGCCACTGCAAAGGAAATCCTCGCTGTCGGCGCCACAAGGCGGCACCCCACCTGAGCAGTGGCAGGCCCCATGCCCTAGTTAGAGTGCCCTACACTTTAGGAATTTCCGAGGTGGGGTGGCCTGACCGACTCTTGTGGCCTATATAGATGATGTACAATCCTTCTGGCCTTATTCTAAATCAGGGCTTTGAAAGCACTCCCGGCACCAAGACTTAGGTTTCAAAGCTTGACTGGGGCGAAGTTTCTACTTTGTGGCTCATGGATTAAGGCGTGGTGTCGAGGGTTCAGCGGGTTAGAGTGGCTTGTTGATGCCGCAGTATGAGCATGATTTGGTGTGTTCGAAGCAAATCTCCGAATGTCTCTTCTACCCCAACTGCAAGACTTTTCTGAGTCCTAAACATATAGGGTCAGGAGCCTGTCAGCCCAAAAAACAAATGCGGTTGGTTCCGGTGCACTTAGATCTTTGAACGGCAGCTTCTGAAAAGGCTGTCAAGCGCAAACTGAAGGACCTAGGCCCTGACCTTGAACCCTAAACCCTCCTGACAGCCCAGCCTCCCAGAACCTGCCAAGCCCTGCAACAATAACCCTTTCAATGGAAGAATACCTACAATGTAAACTGAAGCCCTTAAAGCCTAATTTCTGAATGTTTGGGAAAGCTTGGGTTTCGTGTGTAGTCTGTACAGTAAATCCAAATGGCCGTCTAGAGTCCGAAAACCTTACACCTCCTCCTGCAAGGCCCGGTTACGGACTTACAGTTTAGGGTTTTGCAGGACTTACAGTTTAGGGTTTTGCAGGGTAACACAGTCCAACCTCCAGGTACCAGACAGGCTCATATTTGGTTTTGAAGACCTCCAATCTGGAACAACCCCTATTTCGGTTTGGCTTGGGAGCCCCTGCAATGATTTCTCATGGTCTGGACACACGGATCAGGATCTTGGGCTTGTGGGGTTTTGGGGTGGCTGAAGCGTGAAGCTCAGAAAGGAACAGACCTGTGTCATCTCCTCTGGGTTCCCACGCGTCCTGCTGCGGGCGGAGCTCCCTCCAGCTGTGCCTGCAAATCCGGGCCGATCAGACATCTGGGCTTGAATTTGTTTAATTTCATGGAGGCAAGGCACTGATAGGGTAAACGGTTTAGGGTTAGGGTTTGGGACGAGAAGCTCTAGAGGCAAGTCATGCTTTTGCAAGAAGATGTGAGGATATGGGACACATGCATGTGTTTCGGCATAAGCAGTCATAATGGGGCTGGAGAGAAAGTGGTGATTCATCACAAGTAAAAGAGTCAGTGGTGTTATTAGGATGGTGGGGCTTTAGTGGAGCTAAAGGTGCGTCTTGGGATTAAGGCTTGGGGTTGTTAGGTTTCTTAGGGCGAGAATCAAATTGGGCCGGGGGCTTTTCAGCCCACCAGACGCCCAGCTAGAACTTTCAAGACTTAGGGGTGAGAACCAAACCGGGCCGGGGGCTTTTCAGCCCGCCAGACGCCCAGCTGGAACAGTGGAGTGTTTATGGCGTGGGGCTTAGGGTTTCGGGTTCCCAGACCTGGAAAGCTAATACGTGAAATACACATAAACTATCTTAAAACTCCTGAATGCTACCAAAAGCCTTACACTCTAACCCCACATCCTGCGTGGGCCGCAGGCGCTAAATCTAGCGCTGAGCTCGAAAGAAGTGTTTCAAAAAGGCAAAGGGGCTCAGGGTTCCGGGTGCAGGGTTCGGGTTTTTAGGGCTTAGGGTTTACACTTCGGGTTTGAGGGTTTCAGAAGGCTGAGGGTTCTAGAAGGTTCTCGGGTGTTTTTCCCAAGGGTTTCGGAGGGTTGATGGTTTTGGGGTGCGAGATGGTGGGCGGTGTGGCTTTTGACCGAAGGGGGGGTTGGTTAAAAGTGTGGTTTCGGGCTGGTTTTGGTGGGTTTTGGGGAAGATTAGGGGGGGTGTAGGCGCTATTTCGAGGGTGGTTTGGTTTTGAAGGGAGGATAGGGTAGGGTGGTGTAGGAGGTTTGAAGTTGAATGAGTAGGGTCTAGGGATTGATTCAGGTCTGGATTTTTAAGATTCATGGGTCGGGCCCATTGAGATGAGATAGCACTTCAGCTTGCAGGCCGGTAAGTCCCAACAGGTGCACCCTTGCTGTGCGTGGAACCTCCAAAACCCGTAACACTCTATGTGTAATGTCAATGCAGTTTATTTGCCCTACACCCCGACAATTTCAATACCCTCGCAGCCAGTCAAAGTCAAGCCGTCAAACCCAACCACACGACTTCAAAACCTTAACCAGCCCAGCCTGCTCCGGAAGGCTGCCGCAGCAGACGCCCGCAGGGCGGAGGGGAGCTCGGGCTTTTCGGAGCTTGGGGTTTAGGAGTTTGGTGCTTAACGCCTTACAATCCTGAACCCTACTATACCCTGTAAACCCCGACCTAGCTGTACAAACCCTTCGCTACAAAGCCGGAGGGTTCGGGTTGGGTTTACGGGGTTTTGAGGGAAGGTCTGGGCCGGGGGCTTTTCAGCCCACCAGACGCCCCTAGATACAGGTTTAGGGTTTAGGATGGCTTAAGGTTTCCGGTCGGGCCGGGGGCTGTTCAGCCCACCAGACGCCCCTAGATATTTGGGGTTTGTGACATATCAAATATGGGGTCTACGGCTGAAGGGTTTAGGTTTTTACAATCCCAGGTTTAGGGCCTTTAGGGTTTTTGCAAAGTGCTCAGGTTAGGTGTTAGCTTTGCGAGGTTTGCCTTTGCAAAGATCTGGCAATGACTACTTAGTTTGCATACATACATACTTACTTACATACATGCTTACTTTCTTACACACTCACATACTTACTTTACATACATACATACCTACATACATACATACATACATACATGCATGCATGCATGCATGCATGCATGCATACATACATACATACATACATACATAAATACATACATACATATGTGTGCGTGTGTGTGTGTGTGGGGGGTAGGTAGAGCTGAAAGGACACTCGGCAAGTTGAGATTAGTGATCGATTGTAGGTGATCCAGATAATTGTGCCGTTTTGTGTCCTTCCAGCTCTAGGGTTTAGGGCTTTAGGCTTTAGGACACACATACATACATACATACGTACATACGTACATACGTACATACGTACATACGTACATACATACATACATACATACATACATTACATCCATCCATCCATCCATCCATCCATCCATCCATCCATCCATCCATACATACATACATACATACATACATACACACATACACACATACATATACACACAGATCTTCGCATACACATGATCGAGCCTGAACACAGGGATGAGCATCATGGGCATCAGGCTGCCTACAAAAGAGCATCATGAAGCAACTTTGTGTCGCTCTTCCGTCGCACGACACCCCAGACATCAGACCTCACTTCCCAACGAACAACACCTCACTTCCCGCGACCAGGGCTTCAAGGCGCTCTTCGGGAATGGTATGGGTCAGCTCGCCCAGGGCAAAAATCACGGGATACAGACACCAAAGCTCCTTGGCTACTACAGTAGCTGCTCTTCGGAAAGGCTGACATGCCGTTAGCGGCAAGATGCAATGGTCCGGGAGGCCACAAACTTGAACTTCCCCTCCGCCTCTCCACCTCCACACTGAACGTGCTGTTGCGATGCCGCATACGCTCCAAGCTTCGGAGCAGAACATGTAGGATTCGTCTCTCGGTACGTGCTCCGCAGCCCGCAGCCCCGCAGCCCCGCACCTCGCTCCTCAGCTGCGCGCTGGAGCACGGTGAACAGAAAGGCCACCTGGGTCTGCGCTTCTCTCTTCTCTCCTCTCTCTGGCTCAGCTGAGGCCTGAGGCGGAGGCCATCCCGGCAAAGCAGACGGTGCCCATGCCAAAAAAGCCCCACTTTCCTGTCATCAGATAGACGCAGGAGACTTGCTGGGCTGCAAGGATGTAAGAAGCGAGAAAGGCAAGACTGCAAGAAAGCATCACAACAAAACATGTGATAACCATGTGATCACCTGGGGACTTCGCCTGCGTTCGATGTGCTGAGAGCGGCCATCAGCGCCATCCTTTGCCATCCAAAGCACTTCGACTTGGAGGGATACACAATGACAGCATGTGCTTCACCACTCACACTTGGTGTGGATAGAGGCCGCACAAGGGCCATTGAGTCACTAGGACAGGAAACGCCATTCCACAACCCTCAATTGCCCCAATAACTACTGGAATCCAGCAAGGAGGTCAAAACGAAACTTTCCCTGCATGCCAGGAGCAAAATCATAGCAACGTCGATGCCGATCAATGCAGCAGTTGCCTTCATGTCGGCACCTGCTCCGCTTTGTACATCCGACACTCGACGAAGATTTGAGAAGGCAAGAAACAACAGCCAGGCCTCGCATAAGCGCCAGGTCCAACAGCATTAAAGCAGTTGTAAAGCACCAGTCCACATACCGAAGGCAGTAGACGTGCCTGACACTCGCCATCCGCTCCAGCTTCCAAAGCGAACCCACTCAAAGCTCACACGCTTGAGAGCCTGCCATCCACCATATGTACGAAGAGTCCGTTGGACATGCCCAAGTAGGCCGAGCCCGCGATGAAGGTCACCAAGCACGCTATCTCGGTGAGGGATTGCCTACTTCACACGAGTCCTCTGCATAACAGCAATTTACTTGGTAAGGCAATGCAACCACTTCTCAACATGGCAATCTAAGCCTCGCACCATGTTGTAGGGTCGGGAGACGTCTTTCTGTCCCATGAAAAAAAGGCACAGGCAGCTCAAGTAGAGAAACACCGATGACATTCCCATGACAGCCTGCAGGCACACTGCGCAGGAGTCCATTATCCATAATTCTGCAAGAACTTGCAAGAAGCAAGCCGGGGCTCCACCATTTACGTCCCTCGCAGACTGCACTCCCAAGCCTGGACGATGGATTGATCGGGACTGGTGTCCGTCATTGCTTCCTGGGCAGGACAGTTCGGGAGTGTCAACCGTCTGAGATTGTCGGATGTGCTGCAGGCAGAAACTGAAAAAAAGCCAAACAGCAATGCAGTCACAATTAAAATTATGCCAGCATAGATCCCCAACCACGACCACCATGACCACAAACCAGAGACCCGACCTAAATTCGATCCCCCCCCTCGGGTACTAGAATGATCCCACAAACACCAATACCAGCGCCACGATTCTTGCGCGCCTTGTGTGCCCGGAAAATTGTTCCCCCCATGTACTGGTGTGATTCAGAGACATTGCTAACATGCTTCCACGCCTTGTCTGCTGCGTTCCGAGCATTTCGAGGCAAAAACCATGCTTGTGATTCTGTGTGTGCCTCGTGGTTACAGCAAACAACTCTGTTTCCTCAGTCCTCCGAAACGTAAGAACCCCAATGCGTGACCAGTACCAGGAACAAAATCCTTCTAGCTGATCGTCCGAGTGTCTGAGCCAAACGATGGTGAAGACACTTCGGCAGCAACCGGACAGTTTGAACCGCGTAGCTGCTCGGTGCCAAGCAATCGACTGCAACAGAGACAGAGTCACGAAAGCGATGAAGCTCGTTGTCCAACATGGTGCAGCAACAGCACTTGTGCGTTCCTGTGCCCTGCAACGAAATCACAAGAAAAGTGTGGGGACTGAAGCCCGTTCCAGATGATTCTGTGCTCTCGAAGGCCGGAAAGGACTTTGTCGAGGTTTCACAGCGCACTTGCGCTTTGATGTGATTGGCGAAACTTGTCGAAAGGCTGTCGTGCTTGGACCGGAGAGGTCCTAACATGTCGAAGAATCCGGGATGCACCGTTGCAAGATCCTGCTTCGTCTACTCCTACCTGGCTAGAGAGCGCTGTCGTTGACATTTGTCGTGCGAGCCTTTGCAAGCGCTCAATAACACCTTGTTATTGCTCAAGTCGCAAGATTTGTCGGCAAATTCGTGGCTTGACGGGTCAACCCTTGGCCGTACGTTCCGCATGCCGTGTCCAGCCTGTCCAGGCTGAAAGCACCAATGAAACCCCTTCCCCCGTTGTGTGTCTGCGACTTTTGCCGACACCAGCTCTCCGCACAGCCTCTCACCGTGTGACAGCACGCACTGCAGCGTCGAAGGCGCCGCGGGTACAGCGGCAGCTTGCTCAAGAGCATCCTGAGACTGATGGAGTCGGAGCAGCAAAAAAGGTGGAATTTTGAGCACATCATCTGTGGAGGGCCTACACCCAGGGTCCAGGGACAAGCAGCAGCCGTGGCTGCGCAGCGGCACATGAACAAGGACAAGTTGCCAGGACTCGAGACGACGCCACCACGCCTGAATACACTAGCATCTATTCCTTTGAAAGGCTGCGAGCGGGACATTCTTCACGACATGATTCTACACATGACGGTCTCTGCCAGCTCGTCGCGCCTCCACCGATGCCAAGGCAACTCATCTCTGTGAGCATCTTCACCGCTACCTCCCAACCTCCAACTCCGCAGCACATGTTCAGCAACGCTCTGCGCTACTTACAGCGTGGGGATTCCAGACTTCAGTCTGATCTGAGTTCTTGCTGTATAGGTGCTGTTTTTGTTGTTTTGTCTGCGGGTCGTGGCCACGGACTGCACCAACCCCCAAAAGGTGGCCAAGAACTCGAAAAGAACATGTTGTTGGCAACTCCCAAGCCCCAAATAATCGAAGATGGGTTGCCACATCGCAAGCCCGCAAAGGAGGTTTTGCTTGGTAAACCCAATCCAGAAGAGACTTTGGTTGGCCATCCCCAAACCCTAAAACCAGAAGTTCATTGGAAAAACACCAAGACACCTTGAAGCAGATGGTGGTCGACAGGGCCAAGCCTTTAAACCCTGCTCGAAGGAACTGTTGGTTGGACAACCCAGGAGATGTCGACTGGCCGCAGAACCCAGAACCTTAACCGAGACCTTGCTTCGCAAACCCCCAAAACCCGAGGAGACCGAAAACCCCAAAAGAAGATGTTGGTTGCCAAGCCCAAACCCTAAATTGGAGATGTCGCTTGTCAGATCCCATGCCTTAAAAGCAGACCCCTACAAGCAAGCACGGCCACGAGCTGCGACTGTGGGCGGAGCTCGAGCCGCGAACCGCATGACCGCGGACCACGGGCCGAGACCGAACACCGCTGGCCGCTCGGCCGTGGGTAAATCATTGTATGTTGTGCACGGGAGACGTGGCTCTTGGATGCGAGATGCCCCGATTTCTCCAGAGTCTACTAACTGCAGCCTGGCAACGAAACGCGCCAGCACAGGCTGAGACGATCGAAGTGAAAGTAACCTCGTTCGGCTGCAAGTGCTCGTCCAGCATTGCCTGGGGGAGGGAAGTCGTCACCGGCTACACTGACCACACGTACACCATGGCCCGTATGGCCTTGAGAAGCACGAGCGTGCGCCTGAGCGCAAAATCAGCAAAGGCCAGCAAGCTTTGGAAGCTGTCACTCCTGACTACTACACGGTTCAGGATGACAGACTCTGCAATACTACTCTGTGCAACAGCCGAAGAGCCAACATCCCCCACTGCTGCTCTGTCTGCCCTGTCTGCCCTTGTTTCTAGGACGGCCTCCATTGGGCCTCGCCGCATGAGCCGATGGCCGCGCTCAGGGCCACCACGTTGGCCGCCAGATCTGGGGACTTTGGCTTAGAAAACGGCTCTGGCCACAATGTGTGTAACACGGCGGATAACAGAAACGAAGTCAGTCAGGCCGTCGGTGTTCGGTCATGGGTGGGCTCACAAGTAGTTTCCCCAGCAGACCCTGACGTTGACAATGCACTCTACCGATCGTAACATAGGCTGTCGAGCCTTGTCCACGCAATTCGTCCAGTAGTGCCAGGCCTGGGGAAGAATTTCAGGCAATCCTGCACTGATGCTATCATTATCTGGTGTGCTTCGATACCTGGCTAGCCTTGCTTAATGCCGAGTACAACTGTGCAGCTGAGTCATGCTCCGTGTCGCCACTTCTTGCACTTCTCGCATGCACTGATGGCGGTGCCGTAGCTCACCACGTCGGCCGAGACTTCCGCATGCCTGAAGTGCAGCATGTCATGGGTAGGGATTTATTCAAGTGTTTGATGTGGTTCGGGCAATGCAACATCATCGACAGAGCTCGTTCATTTTAAATTTTCGAAACGTCCAGTACAGAACAGATTGCATCTCCTCCCCCGCCAGAGCTCCTCCTTCTCCCCATCCTTCAGTCCAAAACACGACGACGGCGCGGGTGACGGCAACGACGACTGCTCTCACGGCAGACAAAAGTGGACGTGTCCAACGCCCTCAGTCCGTAAGTGTAGTGGGCATTGAAAAGGGCTGGGAGAGGAGAGGAGGCCGAGAGAAGAGAGGGCGGGAGTGAAGAGGGAGTCCGTGCCGAAGTCCACCTGTTCCGTAGGTACAAATGGGGCTTGCAACATCGCTTCTACGTCTAACCTGCATTGAACTACGGAAAGCTCGAGGTTAGAAGGACTTGTGGACTTGTGGACTGTCTGCGACAAGTGCTGCGGATACTTCACTTCCTCCTGATACTCCCATGCGAGTATGCGCCACCATAATAACCACCACCTAAACCACGCTTACCCTTTCATCAAGATGAGACCGCTGCTGCTGCGTACCACTACTTCAGCTCTACGCGACTGTAAGTTATGAATGTTACAAACGTAAAGACGACGGCTGCTACTGCTAGAGCTGTGGATACGACGACGACTACTACTACGACGACGATTGCTGCTGCTGCTGCTGCTGCTGCTGCTGCTGCTGCTGTAACTACGACGACGACGAGACGACGACGGTAAAGGTCTTCGAAAAGCTTGATTGCCCACCTCATGTCTTCCAGCATTGAAAGCGCTCGCTGCCACTCTGCGCTGGCATCGCAGCTGGCGATCGCTGCATTGAAGATCACGGTGTTAGACCGAATGCTTGCCACCTGCAACACGTCCGAACAAAGAGAGCAAGCATGCTGAAGAGCAGCCTTGAGACGTCGGAGGAGCTCCAATGACCATTCCCATCTACCTGCACGGCCGCAGGATGTCATGGCCACACCTTGGGAAGAGAAGCATTGTCACGCATCGACAAGTGGCCAAATCGGCACGGCCCAAGAATGAATGCCACGTGCCTATCAGCCTGTTATCTCTGTAAGTCTAAGGGCCGTATGCAACGGCATCATCCGCACACTGGAGGGTCTCGTCCTCTGGGCAGCAGCTTCAACCTCCTATCATTGCCTCTGCCGGGAGCTTCGTGCGCATTGATGGCTCCTTCTTGAGGATCCACGGTCGGAGGAAAGCGTTTCCATGGTCGTCACTGCAGTACACTGGCACACATTAGCGATGCCCTCTCCTCCAATAGCCGCAGCACCACCTCCCATCTCTGCGCGGCTGCTACGGCACTCAGCCCGGCAGCTGCTACCACCGCAGCCCGCGGCGGCTTCTGCGATGGCAGGGGAAATTCGACCAGTCGAATAAACCTCTACGCAGCTACTAGCGACCTCCTACGTCGCACGAACGTGCAAGCAAGCTTTGACATTTGCGCCAGGTCATGTACCCAATAGATTCCGCGAGAGCGTGTGTGTGTTTGTGTGTGTGTGTGTGCAGGCTTCAACCAAACTACAAGTTCAGCTAAGCTTGAGCTCCCGGCCTCGACATTGCACAGCAAGCACACAGACACCTGCTCGGATACAGGTCTCAAGTCTCACCGGCAGGAAACCTGTGGACTGCTGTGTGCACTCCGTCCACCCTCCATCAACACGCAACTCCTGGATCACAGCATGCGAGGGCCATTGAGAGGGAGGTGCCGCCGACTGATTGACTCTCTGCCTCCCACTGCTGAGCGGCTGCCAACGCACCCAGAGCGGAGACTTGCGCTGCGGCATCGATCCCTCCGCGAGCATCCAGCACCTGGGGACTCGACACATCTGGACTGGTGCAGTTGCTGGAGAACTCGCGAGAGCCACAAAATGCAAACGTCGCTGAAATGTCGCGTGCTCGAACGGCCACACTTTTGATCGCAGACAACCGAGCCAGCCAGCATCATAGCCAAGCCCTGGCCAAGCCACATGTAGCAGCGATAGAGCCTGCCACGTCACACAAAGCACAGTCGGAAACGCTGTCAAGAACTAGGAACGCCATCAGCACTCTCAGTGCACGATCTGAAACCAAGCCGGCAAACAGCTACTCCAACTTTTCCGGTGTTGCACGCACACTGTAAAGTTGTAAATCTCCGACGATATGAAGCCGTCGTTTGTCATCTGTCCGAAGTGAAATGAGCCCTGCCGTGCACCTGCTGCCAGTGCGCGCCACAGGCCCAAGCACCCATGGCAGTGCTGTAAGAGGCGGCATCCTCGACCGCAATCCGTCGCACAACCAAACCCTGACTTTGCAACATCTCTCTTCCTGCGAAAGCCCCAAACGTTTTCACGAAAAAGACGTGCTTTGCATACTTGTCTCTCATGCTTTGCGGAACTGCCAATACACAAACAAGCAATGACAACGTCGCTGAATGGAAGCGCTCGAAAGACAACGGCAGGTGGGGAAACAGGGTCATTACCACGCATTCGATCTCATGATGGACCGCTACAGCTGGCACTGCAACGTCCCAAGCCAAATGCCCAAAAAACTCTCACCGAGAAAGTGGAACAAATCAGTGCAAGGAACAGCTTGATTAGCCGGGTCGTTGCGGAGATCATCCCAAAGAAGCAAAGCCAGCCTCGCCAAACAAAAGATTCGCACAAGCAAGCTGAGGGGGGAAGCCGCAAGTGTCGCCTAACCGCTGTCGAAATCTGGCCTTCCTTCGCCGACCCAAACATAGGAGCTCATTAGGTTCGTACCGGCACCCCAATGTGACTTGCACTGATCCACAATCTAGGGAATATGCATTTAGAAGATATGTGAAAGCGCGATGAGTCTATGAAAATATGCCATCATGCTACACTTATGCTGTGCATATGTTCAAGAGTCGATCTGTAAGTTCATTCATGAGCCTAGGGGTACTTCTCAGCAGGGGTGCTTCTCAGCCACTACCGAAGATTTAAGAAGATTGTTGAATTATTTGGAAGATTGTTGAAGAAAAACGAATTATTTGGAAGATTGTTGAAGAAAAATGAATTATTTGGAAGATTATTGAAGAAAAAACAAATTATTTGGAAGATTGTGGCAGAAATGCGAATTATGTGAGGGTTTCAATTTGAGGCTTAAACACGGTTTAGGGTTTAGGGCTCATGGTTTAGGCTTCCTGGCACGGCTCGAGGACCTGCCAAAATGGAACACCGAGGTTTAGGGTTTAAAGATTCTAGGTCTAGTATTGGTCAGCTTCGGGGCCCACAAAGTTTAGGGTGCCAACTTCCGAGGTTCAGGGTTTAAAGGTTTAGGGTTTAGGGCTTACGGTTGTTCGGGTCTAAAGGTGTAGGGTTTAGGGTTTAGGGTTTGGGTGAAAACACCCACTTTGTGGGAGTACTAGAGTTGAAAACAAATATGAGTAATCGAGTAGTGAAGTAATAGAGTAATAGAATAATAGAGTAGTAGACTAATAGAGTACTAGAGTATTTGAGTAATAGAGTAATAGAGTAATAGAGTAATAGAATAATAGAGTAATGGAGTAACAGAGTAATAGACTATGTGTGTGGAAAATTGAAACCCTTTGCTATGTTCGCGAAGCGAGGAATTTTTTTTGTTTTTTATGCAAAATTCATGCAAATGCTTTTGGTGCGAGTGTCTGGAGCAAGCCTTGTAGTGTGTGTGGAGTACTAGAGTTGAAAACAAATATGGATGTTCGCGAAGCGAGGAAATTTTTTGTTTTTTTATGCAAAATTCATGCAAATGCTTTTGGTGCGAGTGTCTGGAGCAAGCCTTGTAGTGTGTGTGGAGTACTAGAGTTGAAAACAAATATGGATGTTCGCGAAGCGGGGAAATTTTTTGTTTTTTTATGCAAAATTCATGCAAATGCTTTTGGTGCGAGTGTCTAGGACAAGCCTTGTAGTGTGTGTGGAGTACTAGAGTCGAAACCAAATATGGATGTTCGCGAAGCGAAGAAATTTTTTGTTTTTTATGCAAAATTCATGCAAATGCTTTTGATGCGAGTGTCTGGAGCAAGCCTTGTAGTGTGTGTGGAGTACTAGAGTTGAAAACAAATATGGATGTTCGCGAAGCGAGGAAATTTTTTTGTTTTTTATGCAAAATTCATGCAAATGCTTTTGGTGCGAGTGTCTGGAGCAAGCCTTGTAGTGTGTGTGGAGTACCAGAGTTGAAAACAAATATGGATGTTCGCGAAGCGAGGAAATTTTTTGTTTTTATATGCAAAATTCATGCAAATGCTTTTGGTGTGAGTGTCTGGAGCAAGCCTTGTAATTAGTGTGTGTGGAGTACTAGAGTTGAAAACAAATATGGATGTTCGCGAAGCGAGGAAATTTTTTGTTTTTTATGCAAAATTCATGCAAATGCTTTTGGCGCGAGTGTCTGGAGCAAGCCTTGTAGTGTGTGTGGAGTACTAGAGTTGAAAACAAATATGGATGTTCGCGAAGCGAGGAAATTTTTTTGTTTTTTTATGCAAAATTCATGCAAATGCTTTTGGTGCGAGTGTCTGGAGCAAGCCTTGTAATTAGTGTGTGTGGAGTACTAGAGTTGAAAACAAATATGGATGTTCGCGAAGCGAGGAAATTTTTTGTTTTTTTATGCAAAATTCATGCAAATGCTTTTGGTGCGAGTGTCTGGAGCAAGCCTTGTAGTGTGTGTGGAGTACTAGAGTTGAAAACAAAATATGGATGTTCGCGAAGCGAAGAAATTTTTTTGTTTTTTTATGCAAAATTCATGCAAATGCTTTTGATGCGAGTGTCTGGCGTCTGGAGCAAGCCTTGTAGTGTGTGTGGAGTACTAGAGTTGAAAACAAATATGGATGTTCGCGAAGCGAGGAAATTTTTTTGTTTTTTTATGCAAAATTCATGCAAATGCTTTTGGTGCGAGTGTCTGGAGCAAGCCTTGTAGTCTTCCCTGTTCTACGTAAGACTGCTGCATGCTTTTAAATTCTTCTAAATTCTTCTAGATTCGTCGGAATTCTGCAATTTTCTTCCAAAATCTTCCGGTTTCTGCCTGTCTGTCAAGACATGCCTGGTTCCCAACACCATTTTTTTTCATTTGTACACACACACGGTATCCCCCATTTCTTCGTTTTTCTACCTTTTCTACCTTTTTCTACCTTTTTCTACCTTTTTCTACCTTTTTCTACCTTTTTCTACTTTTTTCTACCTTTTTCTACCTTTTTCTACCTTTTTCTACCTTTTTCTACCTTTTTCTACCTTTTTCTACCTTTTTCTACCTTTTATTCGGTTGAGGTTTGTTTTTTTTTCTCTTTTTTTCCCCTTTCTACCGGCATGCTTGGGGGAAGGAAATGCTGCCCGATTTTCAGCCCCTCCCCCCCCCTCCCCTAGGCCATACGTTTAGGGCCTAGGGTTTAGGGCCTTAGGTTTAGGGCCTAGGGTTTGGGGCCTTAGGTTTAGGGCCTAGGGTTTGGGGCCTTAGGTTTAGTGCCTAGGGTTTAGGGCCTTAGGTTTAGGGCCTAGGGTTTAGGGCCTTAGGTTTAGGGCCTAGGGTTTAGGGCCTTAGGTTTAGGGCCTAGGGTTTAGATGTATGTATATACGTGTGTATGTATGTATGTTTGTATGTATGCATGTATATGTATGTATGTATGTATGTATGTACATGTGTGTGTGGGTGTGCAGGTGTGTATGTTCGTATGTGTAGGTGTTTATGTGTGTGTGTGTCTGTGTGTGTATGCATGTGCTTATGTATGTATGCATGTATGGATGTATCTGCCTATGTATGTATGTATATATGTATGTATGTACCTATGTATGTACTCATTTACACACACATACAAATGTATACATAATTGCGCATACGTATATACATGCATGTGTATATATTTATAGGTGCGTATATATAGATATATATGAAGATACACAAACATGTCTGTATATATATATATATGTATACATGTCTGTATCTATATATATTGTTTGTGTATGTATATACATACACATATGTATATACGTGTGTGTCTACCTGTAATATCTGTAATATAGATATGCGAATTGTAATTTCCCATAGGATTTGTGCTTGGAATCCAAGAAAAACAAGGGTGCGAATTGTAATTTCCCATAGGATATGTATTTCCGAACAGGGTGCGAATTGTAATTTCCCATAGGATTTGTGCTTGGAATCCAAGAAAAACAAGGGTGCGAATTGTAATTTCCCATAGGATATGTATTTCCGAACAGGGTGCGAATTGTCATTTCCCATAGGATTTGTGCTTGGAGTCCAAGAAAAACAAGGCTGCGAATTGTAATTTCCCATAGGATATGTATTTCCGAACAGGGTGCGAATTGTAATTTCCCATAGGATTTGTGCTTGGAATCCAAGAAAAACAAGGGTGCGAAGTGTAATTTCCCATAGGATATGTATTTCCGAACAGGGTGCGAATTGTAATTTCCCATAGGATTTGTGCTTGGAATCCAAGAAAAAGAAGGGTGCGAATTGTAATTTCCCATAGGATGCTGTACCTGGATGCCAAGAAACAGAGTCTACTTAATGTATTTCCGAACAGGGTGCGAATTGTAATTTCCCATAGGATTTGTGCTTGGAATCCAAGAAACACAAGCGCTAATCAGGGTGCGAGCGGGTGCGAATTGTAATTTCCCATAGGATATGTATTTCCGAACAGGGTGCGAATTGTAATTTCCCATAGGATTTGTGCTTGGAATCCAAGAAAAACAAGGGTGCGAATTGTAATTTCCCATAGGATGCTGTACCTGGATGCCAAGAAACAGAGTCTACTTAATGTATTTCCGAACAGGGTGCGAATTGTAATTTCCCATAGGATTTGTGCTTGGAATCCAAGAAAAACAAGGGTGCGAATTGTAATTTCCCATAGGATGCTGTACCTGGATGCCAAGAAACAGAGTCTACTTAATGTATTTCCGAACAGGGTGCGAATTGTAATTTCCCATAGGATTTGTGCTTGGAATCCAAGAAAAACAAGGGTGCGAATTGTAATTTCCCATAGGATATGTATTTCCGAACAGGGTGCGAATTGTAATTTCCCATAGGATTTGTGCTTGGAGTCCAAGAAAAACAAGGTGCGAATTGTAATTTCCCATAGGATATGTATTTCCGAACAGGGTGCGAATTGTAATTTCCCATAGGATTTGTGCTTGGAATCCAAGAAAAACAAGGGTGCGAATTGTAATTTCCTATAGGATATGTATTTCCGAACAGGGTGCGAGCTGGCGGTTTCAGCTGGGGGAAACAAGCAGAAGTCTAGAAAAGTGTTTGAATTCTCCGCAGATACAACGAAGAATTTCGAAGAATTTCGAAGATTTACGAAAATCTAAGAGGAATGGTCTAGAAAAGTGTTTGAAGTTCTCCGCAGATACAACGAAGAATTTGGAAGAATTTCGAAGAATTTCGAAGATTTACGAAGATCTGAGAAGAATGGTCTAGAAAAGTGTTTGAAGTTCTCCGCAGATACAACGAATAATTTGGAATAATTTCGAATAATTTCGAATAATTTCGAATAGTTTCGAATAATTTCGAAGATTTACGAAGATCTAAGAATAATGGTGAAGAACCTGGAAGAATGAAGAATATTATGGAAGTTTACCGAAGAAAACGTAATATTTCCGAATATTTAAGCAGAAATTCAAACATTTCTGAATATTGTTGAATAGGGTTAAACACACTGAGAAGTACCCTTCTGAGAAGCCTCCCTATCCTCACAGAAGATAAGTGTAAGTTAGATCAGCTGAGCGCTGGGAGGCTTTCACCACATCGTTGAAGCCGATTCGTTCGCTTTGGACATTGTTGCATGCGTGGTACATGTCCACGGTCGTGGCAGCCAGCACGGAGGAGACGATGTGTCCAATGGCCGTGCAGTCGGCACAGGTCGCGACTTTCGAGTCCATGCTGCATGGATGGTTGGATCAGCTCCTCGATGCGCACGGTCCTCGAATTGGCGCATCCTTAAAGTCTCACCCTGCGCCTGTCACTCTGCAGGGAAACGCCAGAAAGTCCCGGCCAATGCCCAGAATGAGTGCACTCTGACAGCGCACAGTGCAAGGACAAGCCTGCTTGGCAAAACTGCGCCAATGTCCACGTTGTCTACGGCAAAGCCCACGCTTTCAAAGCTGTTGGGGGAATTGGCTCCACCCATCTTTAAATGGTGTCAATGGCCATCAGCACTTCAAGAAAGGATAGGACGGACTGTACTTTTGCGTTGTCGGTCTGGTCTGCCAAAGCAGGCACTGCCCAAAAGCAGTGCTGCGTCCGAACGAGCAGGCCCCGGCACAAAGGTCGGAAGGCTGCAGAATCAAGCCCCCAAGACATTGTGCAATGTGCCATTGCGTCAGAATTACTGCCTTATCCTGTCGAGAAGCTCCTAAATGCCTACAGGCCTTTACATTGTGCGACCTAAGCAGATGAAAATCAACCAAAACATATTAAGTTTTCTCCCTCCGCTCATCTCCCCCTCCCTTTCTAGACGGTTTCAGGCCCGCGTGGACTCATACCAAACACCGTTTCGGCCCTGCAACCATCCCCTACGTCTTGCAGGAGTCAAGCTGAAAGGTGACGAGGAGCTGCCACTGACTTGCCGAGCTCAAGGCATCCATAGACCCGGTGTAAATGACGCGATTCGCTCGAAGGTCCTCGGCTGGACAGACAGAACCTGGCTCTCTCCGGAAGTTTCAAGGCGCAGCGTCGTCAAGGAAAGATGGCACGTCTAGTGCTATGGTAGGAGTGCATCAAGACAATATCAAGACATCTTGCCTACCGATGAAGCACAGGCAGCCTCCTACACCTGCAACAGATCGACAAGGAAGAACCAAGCTTATAGACTGCTGCGGGGCGCTGGCTCGCATCTTCGCGAGGAAGCCGAGGACTTTCCTGAAAAGCAAAGGCGTTGACCCTTCGATCCCATCTCGAGCACGAAGGAACGAAGATGTCCGGGCGACACCTACAAAACCCCCACTGCTCTGCAGATTTCGGCCCAGGGTCTCCCACGACTGCCCCTGGCCACAAGCATTGATGGCAGCTCCGAAAGACACCTCGGGTGACTGGCTGCCAAGTCAGTGCTATCTACCAACAGCGCCTTTGCGTGCATATCAGCTTCACCTACGAGAAGTCAATAGATGTTCGTTTTCACGGTCTAGGCCTGCACTGATATCGACCGGCCACGGCTAATCAGACTTGCACAGGCCAGGCAACAACGGTGGGCAAAAGCTTGTGCTCCTGAGCATAAACGTGACGAGTTGGTCCATGCATACCGGCAAAACTGGTACGCATAGCAAGTTCGTATCAGCCCCTGGCACACTCAAGGGCCAACATCCGCGCAAAATGCAGCTTACTTTCCAACAAATTGACAACTCCTCTTCTGGTCTTCAAGCAAGCATTGTGCACACAAGTATGAGCAGACATGCATGTGCCTACACACAACTCATATCATTCATAACATCCATCCCTGCATCCGTCCAAGCTCTGTCTGCAAGGTGATTCGACTGAAGGACAGAAAACAACATCCTCATCCGTCGCACTACAAACCTGTACACTATTGGATTTTGCATTGAGCTGCGAAAGCCTTATGCAACAGAATTCTCCCAGTCGTCCTCCATCTCTGCAAACAGCTCCAAAGAGCCCGGCCAATGACTGCCTTGGATGTGATGCGTACCAGTTCGGATTTCTATAGTAAGCCAATGCATGCTCACACGGAGCCAGAGCTACTGTACATCTTGGTTCGAGGGACCCCTCTCGCAGGCCGTCATGGCGGTATTGTAGGTGACGACATTTGCTTCCACGCCCTGCAGAACGGTTGCGCTGCAGAGATACCCGAATCTGACGCTAGTCGCGGCCTCGACCTTCATCTGATGGAAGAGGAGCAGTGCTCGCTGCCACTGACCCCCTCGCTCGCAAGCGGTGATAACCTGAAGGAGGCATTCGCTTCGGTCCCAACAGTTACTACTCAGCTTAACCCAAAACTGGCTAGCCAAGATGCTGAACTGTACGTGACGACTTCTGCACCTCAGCACGACGCCCAAGGCGAATGAGCCCCTTCTGCTGCCATCTTCGCTTCTGCACAGCCTATTCAAAGATCATTGCCGAGGAGCCTTCGTCAATAAATACCAAGGAAGCCTCCCTGAGCTCTGTACAGTCCAGCGACCGTGGGCGCTTGCATCATGAAGCTTTGTTTTTAGGAAGTCCAAGGCGCCAGGCCCCGGAAGCTGCGGCAGCTGCCGAAGCTGCGGCCAGAAGCCAGGAATCCGCGGCCAGGCGCCCCTGCCTTAGGGAAACTCAAAAAAACCTCCTCTGCTGCTCCGCTCGTTTTGATCTGATCTTCCTCTCTTTGCCGGGACGTGCGCCTACGGATAGGAGGGAAAGGGGGTTTACCGCCTGAAGAGCAAAGACCACCTTGTTGCTTTTTGCGTCCAGGAGCTGCAGGTCGTCGAGAAGCCAGAATGCCAATTGCCACCTCCGGTTGAACCGTGCGCAAGGTGAGCAACTGAATATGCGTAAGAACATCCTAATGAAATTCAGATGGAGAATCTCGTGAAAAAGAGGGAGTGCGACAGACAGTGTAAGGGCCCAGGTGGACAGTCTGGCTGACTGGAGCGATACATGTAGGGATCCGGAAACCTCATGAATCGAAGCAGTGGCTGTATGAGCCCATTTGGACAGGTAAAATCACCTGGCCCACAGATGCAGGGCCCGAGCAGTGGCCGCTCTCTGCAGACCCGCCTCGCAGATTTTCCGAGAGCACCTACTGCGGCCGTTGCTGTGATCGCATCAGGCGACAAGCTGGCGTATTCCATGCACGCCTGGCAGTGTTCCATCGCTGTAAGTCAAGATCAGCTCGACGAGTCGACTACGATTGGTTAACACAATGCCGGAGGCGCAAACAGCTGAAGGATCTCCTCCCAGCGACCGCTGCGGGCAAAGATCTGAGCACAAGCCTTAAGTTGAAACGGCAAGTACCGCCGATGCAGTCGCGTTTCTATCCTATCCCACGTGAGCTGTCTCCGTAACTGCCTTGATCGGCACGACTGACTTGCAATACAGTTATCAACCTCCGATTGCAGCATCTTGCATCAGCACATGAAATGTCAACTCCGACACGCAGCTTCCGACAGACACGCCCCCAACGAGATCCATAAAGCCAGAGGGCATTGCAGGCGCGGAGGTCGGGCAGCCCTTTCTTCGTGTCCCACTCCGCAAGAAAAAGGGCGGCAGCCTGGAGCTCCCACTCGAGGCTTAAAAAAAGAAGTCTCTGGCCGTCGCAAGCCACAAGTGGCCACTATTGGAAACACCATAAAAAGGGCAAAAAGTAAGCAACCATTAGAAAACTGAAGGAACATTCGCCGAACCATGCACATCGGAACGGCAGACAAGGTATTGCTGCGACTTCCAAGGACTGCATAAGGCAATGTTCATCGAATTCAGTGGTTGTCAATAACAGTTCTCGGAGCTTGAGGTGGCTTGCAGACTGCTACGAACGTTCGTAATGGTTCTGATTGCGATGCTGACAGCATGATTTCTTCAGATTCGGACTGTTCGCTGCGATTGCATGCACTTCTTCGAGCCGTTCTTTTCTTACTAAGTCTTGTTTAATTGCTCGTCGCCTCCTTCTTTGACTTCTTCTCCTTCTGCTTCCACAGCTGATGCTTATGCTGCTCCCGCTGTTGCTGCAAAACCTGTTCTTGTTCTTGTTGTCGCTGCTCATAACGTTGCTGTTGCTTTTGTGGATCGTGGTGTTGTGCTCGGGATTTAGCATCATTCAATATGATGTTGCAGCAGTTGCCGCCTCTGTTGCTGAAACGATTTCGGGTGCTGATGCCGATAAACAACTTGATATTCAATGCTGGACTTGATGATGACAATGATGGTGCAGATGATGGGGACATTGACGATGACGACGACAACGACGACGAGGAGCATGATAACCATGTGGTGGTGAGTAGAGCTGGGACAGGTGGGGGAAAGCAATGACGGAGAGGGACATGATCCTTGTGATAATGACGTTTCGGTTGGGATATGACAGAAACTAACATTATGAACGAAAAAACAAATAGCTCGTGTGTCAATTCTGTCACCTCATCATCTTTTAGCCAGTCCGCCTGCTGCCATCTTCGTTGCCGCCCCCAATCTCGTACCAGCTGTGTCTTCTGCCTGCACTCGGCATCAGTCAAAGGATAGGACCGCTACTTACGCACCGAGCTTCTTCAGACTCGAAGGTGCGATCCTCCAGTACACATCAGCTTTCTGCGTTCCCATCGCCACACCATCGTGGGAAGTTAGATGCAGGCCCCTAGCTCGGGACCCGGTCAATATGTGTACTTCCGGCCGGAGGGCTCTGCTCAGAATCAAACACGCTGGAGCTGATTAGCACGACGTGACTAGCAAGGTGGGCATTGCTTCGAAGCACGCGCTGATTTTGAGCAGGCACTGCGGCACAAAGAAGCAAATTCAAAGGCAGGCGCGACACTCAGAAAGAAAGCGGTTCGATGTTTCTGAAAGACATTGTTTCAACTCCACTTAGACTTTCATCTCGATCCATAAAGCATCACTCTGGAGGCCAGCAGCAGCACCAAAGCGGCAAGAGGCGGCGGTAGGAACTGTAGACAGTACCAGCATTAAGTATTAGTACAGGTGCAAGTGCTAGTTACTAGCACTGGGAGCAGTAGCATTCGTAGTAGCAGTAGTAGTTGTTGTAGCACTAGTAGCGGAGTCGTCGTAGTATCGTCGTGGTCCTTTCGCATTAAAACCGAGGCCCCAGAAGCGATTCCACCGGAAGAAATGAGTGTAGAAACAGGCTCAGGCAAGGCCGCTCAGCACAGGCGCATCCGTGTTTCCTTCAACTTCCGTTTTGCTTGCTCTGGCACTGGTCGGACGGGAGAAGGGCCCAGCTCTCCACAGCCGCATTGTGGACGTAGCTGGCAGCCGCCCTCGTGTCAAGTGCAGTCGTGGGTTGGGCCGCACTACCAGCTGAATCAACACAAGTCGGAGCGCTTGTAGCCAAGAAAATCCGAATGAACAGTGCAATAAATTCCGCAGACTCGAACAACATACTGTCGGGCCAGGTGGAAGCTTCGAAGCTCCGCAGGTCCGAATGAACATGGTCCCATGGTCAAACAAGCTAGCCCAACGGCAAGGTCGACCCGGGAATGTGCCTTGGACAAACTCGCTTACAGATTTGATGTCGGGCCTCTTCCTGCCAAATTCCCAGATGTCCCTGCCACCCGGGTACTCGGGGCGGGCCAAGTACCGAAGGTTAAGCTCCCTCGCAGCCGCTGGACTCGGACCCAGAGGAACTGCCCAGCGGACTTGGAATGGCTCGTTGTAACTTCCCCGGCTGATGAGGTACACGGAGGAGACCTGAAAGTCTGTCAACCTAACTTTCGGTGAGTGACCCACGGCTGTGTCTCAAGCTGCGGCACAAATCCCAAGCTCTCCCCAACGCCCCAAGCGCACAGGAAAGGAGAGTGAGGACCAGCTCTTCTGGAAGATTTCCACAGCCGCCGCAGCCTGAAGCTGCACGGTCACAAAGCGAGTCGGTATCGGTGCCGACAGACATCGTTGTGGAAGCTGAATAGCGCAATAGTCCCACCTCCGTGGCCCCCCGCCAGCCACCGACAGAGAGGTGTGGAACAAATTTGCCGATGTCCCGTGACCTTGACAGCGTGAGGGTGCATCGTTGATCGAACACAGCAGGGCATAAAGCAAAACACAAATGCATGTACTTCGCACCTCCCGCAGCAACGAAAAGCCAAGGAACGGGTCATCTGATAAGTCCGTGCAAGATGGAAATGCCCCCAACAGCCTGATGCAGCAACTGATCATACTGGCATGACACAGGCTTCTACCCATCACCCAAAACCGTTTGCCTCTCGTGGACTGCATGCAGAGCTGGAGAATCTTCATCAGCAGCCTCACCACCCTGCCAAGCCATGACAAAACCGTCAGAACAGGGAACAGGCTCTACCTTGCAGTGTACGCAAGCGGGGGAAGATCGTTCATCGGGGATGAATCGGAGCAGACCGTGGCTGTTCCGTCGATCTTAAGAGTGACTGCAGATGGTCCACACCACCATACTCCAGACAGCTTTCCGAGCATCTATGCGCAGCTTCTCTCTCGCCTCCTGCGGCCGCAGCCAGACCTGAGAGTCTTCTTCGGCCCTATGCTATCCGATTATCCGACATCAACATCACCGTACACAGCCTGTACAACCCGAACCGCAGTCTCGTGAATCGTTCAATGAATGCAAGTCAACGCTTGCAAAACGTTTGTGGAACCAGCTACACATGTTCACCATGTTAGCCACAGCACTGTGCAGCTCCGTCGGCTGTGCTCGAAGAAATGGAACTGTTGCCTGAGAGATTGCCAGCATATGTCAAGTCACTGTTCACTGCTTGCGTCTACTCGCAACTGATTGGGAAGAGTGGCAGCTGCAGGGTGAACGGCTCCACGTCATTCAGGGCCTCGCGCGCACGAGCAGCAGCAGCCGCAAACTCGCCACCAGAGTCCTCTGCAGGAGTTGGTCCACCGATCGCATGAGGGTCATGCCGCTTTACAGCCCCATTAAGCCGAACAAGTCCCTGAAAAAGGTGCAGATGCCCCGCACAGACTTCGCCTACACGTCTTATGGTCTGTACGGGCCTACATACTTGTCGTGGGATGACCTCTCTTCAGCACCAGCCCGTCACAAGCATCTGCCATCATCTGCCTGAACTCGGAAACGAAACTGCTTTTCAGACTGGAAGACGGCAGGTCCTCCAGAAAAGGGTACAGCATATTGATGTGTGGCATCCTCGACTTGACAGTTTTACGACAGGTGTTGCTACGACGGCACGGACCGTTCAGCAAAACGAGTGTTCCTCTGCTTCCCCCTTCTGGCTACTAGTTACTAGATACTAGTCGCACACCTGCTCTCCACAGCAATTGCCATCCCAGTTGATCTTATGCCTGACGGAAACCGGCCGAACATGCAGGAAACCTCCTGGCAGCGTTTGAGCTTCTGATCTCGAATCTGTCACCGAGAAGCCAACGGAAGAACCCTTTATCACGGCCACGGCGTATCTGCTGAATCGGGTCCCACATTTGCACGGGAGGCATCACGACCTCGTGAGCAACACGTGATCGAGCTCCATTCAGCTCGCCATAAGGCATCAGATGCCACCGAGCGGCAAGCGCACTCTTGACAGACTTTACCGCGGCGAATGTCGGCGACAGGCCGCTGAGAAGCGCCTTTGTAGCATCGATTGAGCGCGAGCAGTGCCGAAGGCCAAGCAAAGAAAGCATGCTTCAAATATCTTCACAACGCGCCACACCTTCTGTCAACTGAGGGAAAGACACCTGCCGAGAACCATCGCAGCATCCGCAGGCTTTTCGGCGAGCGGAGATGGCCAGCTGGGCTCATGACTAGTGCAAACCAGTTCTCCGTAAACTTTTCGCATGTGAGCTGTGTAAGAACCGCCATCTGCCTCCCCAAACATACATTGTGCATCAACTCACTCTGGCGAAATTGACATCTTGGCGGCTGCGAAGCTGCATGCATGCGCTTCTTGCACAGACAACTTGATGGGGCTTAACTTTTGGCTGGGGCGGAGCGGCTGGGAAGGCCCGTGAATCGGTGACACCTTGCGGCGTCTCTTAATGTCACTGCGAAGCAAAAATAGCAGCGATTAGAGGATTTTTGGCTGCGAAACAACTGCGGGAGCGAGCCGGTGAATACGATTGCGTCGCTGATCTTAGTTGCTGAAACCTCATGGACAAGTGCGAAGACCGAGTGAACTGACCGGCCACACCCAAGATACTTTCACAGGATAGGTAGCACAAACGCCATCTGGGTGATCACGAACAACAGAAATGCATGACCCTCAGGGTTGCGATGCGTAAACGCCTCGCAGAACCATTCCCGAGTTGTCGATAGTTGACGACTCGTGCATAAAGCGTACATGTAACCAACGGTCAATTGAATTGAACTTCTTCGGAATCAGACTCAAAACTCGAGGGTTTTTTCGCCAAGCTACTCCGGCTCAACCGACATCTGCAAGGCGGAAGCATTCCGGGACGAGGAAACCCAAGAAGTACACCCTTGAAGCCACGACGCTCCTCGACTTCACCATGTGTGTTGCGGCGAAGTATGCCAAGTTTCAGAATCAGGGAGACCGGTCAACGAACGAAAGCACCCTCGGACGGGAGGTGGCAGCAAGGTCACCTTTTTTCCAGCCCCCCATCAACTGCACAACACCGCTCCGCCCGACTTCGCTTAGGCCGGCGGGTCTGAGTGCAGCGAGCTTGCGTAGGAGATGTACTCCTGCAAAGGGGTGGCAAATGTAGCAGAGGGCTTTCCCCGCAGAGTCGGTACCACACTCAAGGGCCTCGGAGCTCTCAGAAGTCCTTATCCGACATGCGCACGAGACGCCGATGACGAGTACCCGGAAGAGATTCACAACTGCTGCAAGTAGCCTTGATCAACTCTCGCAACGCAGCTGATCATTTCCTGTCCTGGAGTGAGATTGTTCCAGAAAGGTCCTGGCATGATGTCAAAAGTCCTAGCCGTCACCGACACATTTTGAAGAGATGTCATCAAAACCTACAGTGAGAGCCAGCACCGACAGCACTATGGTCCAGTGTCGGGTCCTGGTCGACGTCGATGAAGAACCTGAGACCAAGGAAGAGAAGGCTGTTTCAAGCGCGCAAATAAGCAGCTCAGTTTCGTCGCGATGCTCGCAGGCGACATGGTTGCAGCAATATGCAGTCCCATGCAACGTCAAACCGCTAACCACACGCCAACCAAGGATGGCTTAGCTGCAGGCTGGTGAAGTTCTTTCGGATCTAGCTCTCCCTTGAACCTGCCAAGGGCATTTGTGTGCGGGGTGGCTCGAACCTCGTCATGCAGAAAAAGTCCGAACAATGACATCAAAAATGACCGTTGCTATCAATCGCGGCGGCGCTGCTGCGTGCGCACTTCTTGTGCATCGATTTGCTTATCCTGCGGTTGGACAAGGTCCAAGGTGCTAAATGGCCAAGACGAAACTACAAAACCAAGCAGATACAAGATTTGCAAATGGCCACAATCGCGGTAGAACCGTTTGGGTGCCTTGTTAAGGTCGAAGTCCAGGAAGTCCTGCAACAGCGACGGAGCCTTGAGGTGCTGTGCCACTCTTAGCAAGACGCCTCTCACTATCCCTGCCACTACACCATCATCGAGCTGCTGCCTGCTGAAACTCTTCAGCGTCTTGTGCCGTTGGCTGCTTTGTCTCCTCTGCCTGAACAGGCCAAGCTCTGGGAAGTCAAGTAGCTGTCTTCCAGCGGTCATGTGGGTCCTCAGGTCGCCTCCATTCCCAGAGAGCAAGCAGGCTTGGCGGCTGAAGAGGCATAGCTGCTTTCTGCTTCTCTCTCGTTTGGCAACGAGTCAACCGCTTCCACCATCACTGGTGCAACTCCCGAAAAAGCTGCAGGCTCCAGATTAGATGTCAATGTGTGGATCCATCGCACGCAACAACAGGAAAGACAACACAACTCCTCCGCAAGTGCGCACGTGACGACGGCGGACTCCCATGAGAGGGTTCAGAGCATCAGAAAACGTGCGATGCAGTCAGATTCGTAGACGACAACGACGGTTTTGCACGATGTGACGTTTTGCTGCACTGTGACGACTGCCGGTCTTCGCACTTCGACACAAGAAACGTCATTCATCTGTCTACTTGTCCTTGCAACGAAGAGCCCCTACTTGGATGACCCGTGGGTTGGCTTCTACATATATTGACTTATAGGACTTGCTTGGACTTGCTATATAGTTATGTAAGTACTTATCAGTTTATCAAGGGATGCTATGTGGTTATAGAAGTACTTGTGAAGGGGATAGCAACCAGGATAGCATCCAACTTGCTAAGCGCTTAACAGGCATTTATAACTCTATGCTAACCACTTAGCAAATATTTTGCTAACCACTTAGCATGTCCCAAAACCATGAAATCCGGTGAACAAAATTCCATATTTGGGCGTTTCAATCCCAACCAAACGAAAATCCGGAAGTGCGATTTCCACTTTTTCATGTTTTAAATCTGACGGCAAGAAGCAACATTCGTGGATGGAAGCCTGTGCCGGCTTTTGATGCAGAAGCCGCAAGGCTTGTCAGGCAGTGTTATGCATGCAATCGTGATGGGCGAGACCTGGCACATGTACTGCTTTTTGGTAACGGCAGGCCCTGTGCAAGCACTCAAGCCTTTCTGTGGGCCAGAGGAATCAGAACTCGAATTTTGTCCCCTCCAAGAGAGGTGTGCTGCAAAGGGCAAGCTATCATGCTGGTTTCTACCAGCATCGGGGCATCAGTCCTTTGGACTATCAACGAGCCATGGGCCAAATCATTCGTCACCAGATTGAAATGGGAAACCAAAGAATACACAACTCCATCAAGATCGGCATGAAAATACACTTGTGAAACTTGGCGGGAAGCTTTCATCAATACCAGATCCCCCTTGTGTGCAAAACCTGCTGGCTGCAATGCCGCAACTGCATTCGTGTGGATGCTCTGGAAGCCGGGCATGTACTCCTGCAGAAAAGCCACCATTTTGGCTGGTGCTTTTCCGGGTTGTGCCAGCTTGCAAGATGTGTCAAAGAGCTTTTCCTGCTGAATATCAGATAGTGTCTGGCCCAGAATTTGCAAAAGAATCGACCTCTCATAGTTAGTTGTGTTTGATTGCAGGGTGCCAAACCTTTTTGCCAACTTGTGCTTCCGTTCCTGGACCCAGCATGCAGGCAAAATGCCCCATTTCCGCAACTGGGCAGGCAAGTGTACCACCCAGTGAAATTTTGGGTGCCAGGCATCATGCCATCCTGCTGCAATGCTGGCTTCGAGGAAAGCCTCTATGGCTGCAGCAAGCCTGCCTGGGCTCGTGATTCCTGGCAGAGCACATGCTTGAAGCAGCTCAAGCACATTTGCTAATGCCACCATCACAGCAATCGGCTTAGCACACACACCGACGGGAGCAACCACGTTCAACAACATGCACGTAAATATGCTGAACAAACTCAACCCCTCGGAGGCACTGCACTTGAAGCTCCCAGCTTCGTCGTTGGCTTTCTTCCTCTTGTGCACAAACAAACCTGACAGGTTTTCTGACCTGCTCTTGGGAAGTTGCCACTCCTTCACATAGTCATGGACGATCTTGTAAAAGTCTCGGCCCAACTCTTCCTCGGCTGCTTGCATCATCAGGTGCATGATTGTGTTGAAAATCCCTTTCACCAGGAATGTGTGCATCCAGTCGTGAAGCCATTGGCTTGTGGGCTTGACAACCCTGCAGAGGTCCGGATCGAATATCATGGCTGCATCATTGAAGTTCAAGCCAGCTGCTTGTTGCCAGAGCTGGAAATCCTTACTGGACAAAGTGTCCTTCTTTTGCACCGTCTTGAGCACAGTAGCTGCAAAGTCATCATCTGTTGACAGTTCCAAGTCTGCTTCCTTGTAGATATCAGAAACCAGCCTGGCTTCTTCAAGCTCGATGCTGTTGGTAGAGATGACGTTTTTGCAAAGGAGGCAGCACCGAGTGCCGTTGTCGCCCTTGATTGAGAACAGGGACTTGTGAGCAAGTCCGTCTTGAAGAAAAGCGCCGAGCTTGAACTTCAGATTGATGCACAAGCTGTCGTCAGCTGTCTTCAAGAGGATGCCAAGCTGCGGGGCCAACAATTAGCGAGCAATTCCGACAAACAATGCCAAAGTACATATAACACACATGCTCATTTAAGAAGAAACCCTCACGTACCAAGTTTGTAACTTATCATATCCGGCCTCTGGGTGGCAATGCCCATGGCAGAAAATGTTCTTCAACACCAGCGAAGCCATCTGGCTGGCACCCCCCGGAAGATCATTCACAAGCTTCGATCGCTGGCAAAGAACCGGTATCCAAGCCTCCTCCTTGGACAAGGCTTGTGAGCCAAATTCCATGAAGGAAAGATATATTGCCCACAATTTCCTGGAGGTATCAGCTGAAAGAACATTTCCAGGAGTGACCTCGTCTGAGTAAAAAACGAGGTTTAATGGCTGACCACCAGAAGCCACAAGGCTGCTGTGCAGGAGACCCTGGAATTCGGAGGATGTCTCAAAAAGCGCCTGCAACAAAGAGAAGAAGTTGGCCATGATCACCTCGACCTCCCCTTCATCAGTAGCCACCTTGATGGAATCAATCATCGGCCCATAGGCCTTGTGCTCTAAGACTGTGTGTTCAGTAGCTTCCTTGACATGTTTCCGCTGCTTCAAAGACGGCAAGCCATTTTTCTCGATGTCCTGAAGTAAACCCGCCAAAGCTGATGCAGACACTGCAGGTACCCTCCTCCTCAAAGCATCCAGCTTTTGAAGTTTTGAGTCCCGGCGGTCACTTTCCATGACTTGGTGTCTAGAACCGTTTTATTCGAGTCTGAAGTTTACATACATATAATGTGCACGTATACACGAACAATTATGTACATAGTTCAGGGCCTCTTGTTTCTATGCTCGGCCGTATATACGTCTATGTGAATACAGATACACTTAAAACTTATTTTGGCTTGAATTTTTATGGCTAGGATACAAGACGATTTAATCGATGCATGGGCATTGTCTCGAAGCTGGAATCCACTATCAGGCTTCAGTTGGCTTCACGGTTTGGAAGAACAAATTAGATGTTTACAAGGTTTTGAGGTTTATATATGTATGAACCAAAAGCTTGTAAGGCAGCAGTGTTCACTGGCTGGAAAGCAGGAATGCTTCTTCATTGCATGCATGCAAGCACCACTCAGAAACTGCTGCCAATATGAGACATATACCTCAACGAAACGGCGGACTGCAAAATGGCCCTTCTTTATTGTCATTCTTCGGATGGATTCTCTGAGGTCTTGTGTGCAAAACACAAAGCGACCAGGTCCCCAAGGGAAACAAAGAACACTCGAGCATGCTGCCATAAGGCATGGAGAAAAGCACTTTGCTTGTCCCAGCATAAAACAACCAAGCTGATGGCTGGTAAATGCATCCCACACAAGCTCTATGCACAATCTCCAGCTTCGCAGAGATCACGTGAAGCCATTATGGCTTATACATGCCTCTGCCACTTGGCGGCAGCTGCAGCCCTAGCAGCTCTTCCATACTCGAGTTCGGCTTCCCTTTCGTAGCCGCTTTTCTCAGCAAGCTTTCTGGCTTTGTGATAATGCCCGTCTGTGTATGTCTCCCGTCGTGCACCAAGCTGGGCCTCGGTGGGGGAAGCCGGCTCATACTTGGGCAACTTCTTCGAGGCATTCTTCTTGGCACCAGGCTTGGCAGCGGCCTTCTGAGCAGCCTTGGGCTTCTTGCTCTCACACTGCGCCGGCTCCGCCCCGTGGATGGCATAGTCAATGTCCGACGCCGACCGTTTGAGGATCGCCAGGATGGCCGTGAGCGGTGTCTCAACCCTGCGTCCATCCCAGGCGCCGTGCGGTGTCCAGGTCGCCGCGGGACACCGCGTCCGCGATGTTGGCCTTGGAGGGAACCCGCCGGAAGTCTGGGAGCCATTCACACAATGACGCCGTGGACCAAAAGGCCGCGATGACGCCGCTCACCGACTCGTCCTTGCCGTAGCCCTTGGTCAGGGCGAATTGGCCGGCGACGTTGTCGATGAACGCCATCCACCGCGCCGGGAGGCCAGAGTAACCAGCGCCAGAACCTGCGCCAGGACCTCGAGGACGTAAATGAACGCCCGCCGGGCCTTGCACTCCTCCGGGGCCTGGCCGGCGTCGTAGAAGACGTGCTCGCCGATGCGGACGACGAGGCCCCAGCCGTTTCGGCCGCGGGTGCCCGGCCGAACATGGGCTTCCGCCGGGAAGTGGCCGGCCTTGTACGGCACTTCTCCGGGTTGGTAGTAGGCGTCAGCATAGATGATCGCCTCCGGGGTGCCGTCATCGATGAACGGCGCCAGTCTCGGGCGAATGTCCGCCAGGAGCGACCTAAGTGCCTTGAGGGCCGCCCGGAGTCCGGTGGACAGCCGTGCCGACGAGTTGGCAGCCGAATCGTGAGCTCGGGCATATATACCGGCTTCAGCGCCGCCTTCCCGAGGGCGCCGAAGGTCGACTGTGTGCCCGCCAGGCGGTTGGCATCATGCGGCGCCAGCTCGTCGGTTTCGAGCGTTCGGTCGATGGCCGCCAGCACCTTCTTGATCCTCGCCGGCGTGGGCGACAGGAGGACACCCTCCTCCGTCACCGTCGCCAGCACCCCCTGAACGATCTGTTCCGCCGCCGGCGCTTGGGCCTTCGACGGCTTCGTCTGCAAGCCGAGAAGCTCGAAGAACTCCGCCATGCCGTGGAAGGCGCCGTCTGCCAAGTGGTCGCAGTCGACGCCGTTGAAATCATCCACGAAGTGGCCCGCCAGGAGCCACAGGAGTACACGTTGGAGTGCCTGTAGTGCGTCCGCCGTCTGGTTGAAATTCCAGACGGACGCCGTGGCTCCGAAACACATCGCCATGTGGAACCAGAGGGTCGTACCGCCCGGCGCCTGGAGGAAGGTGCCGGAGTGCGCCGGTTCCTTGACCGGCCACTGCCGGTATGCATTCAACAGGTCGTGCCCGTAGAGGCGGACCGGCAGGGCCGCGCACCGTCCCCACAGCTCCACCACTCGCCGGACCATGTCGACGCAGTCGTCGACGAAGTGGTGCGTCGGCACGTCGTGCACCGACATGGTTGAGTTGTGGACGGACCTTCGCCAGTCCTCGTCCTCCTGGAGGATGGCGAAGGGCTGTGGCCGGGAGGTGGCGGGAACAGCCGATCAGCTCCGGGCGTCCAAGGGGGGGGACCGTCTTTTCCACCCCAGCCGGGCCTCTTGCACCAGCTCCTCCAAGAGGGTGCCGTTGTGGTCCCCGCCGTAAGCCTGTGCGACGCGGCTCTTGACGTACTGCCAGTTCGCCGCCGCCAGGTCCTGCAGGGAGGGTGGGTGCTTATAGCGGCCGGGTCTGCGGCGAGGTCGTCGAGCATTCGGAAGTCGTCGGTCAGATCCTCCGTGATGCCGGGCACGTCCGGGTACCCGATCTGCGGAAGGACCAGGGCCAAGGCCGGCAGACGGAGCAGGATTGGGCCAACTGGCAGGACGACCAGCATCGGCGAGGCACCCATCGCCAACCGGGCCCGCATCACAGTCCGTTTGGCGCTCAAGCGGCGCAGGCAGCCGACCAGGTACCTCCTGTTGTCAATCTTTGACGGCGTGGGGGCTCCGCCACCGCGGCGACTTCCTGAACGAGTAGCATGGCGGCGGAGATATATACACAAGGCGGATCCACAGAAGACGGCCATCCTGGTGATCACGGCGGCTCCGCCATGCCAAGACTTTTTGAGGATATAGGTATCGCGGCGGGGCACGCCGGCGAGCGTGGGTCCCTCTTCCTCAAAGCGGTCCACTTCGCCAACGAGGTCCTCGCGGCGGCGGACGGTTTCTCTTCGAGAATGTGGTGATGGAGCCGACGGCCGCAGAGGAGATCTCCCGGACGCTGGCGGTGGAACCGATCCTGATCTGCGGGTCCGACTTCGGATGGATATCCCGGCCCCGGCTCTGGTGGGCATCGCCGGAGCTTATAAGGGCCTGACCGTCAATCCGGCGACCGGCCGGCACATGCAGTGGACCAAAAGCAGGGATCGTTCCGGCGCCTCCGTCTGCAGGAGGCCAGGGTCCCGGCGGAGGAGCTGACCGCAAGGGGACCTCAAGTTCTACGAGGCGGTGGTGGCGGGCAGGCTGCGAGTGCCTTGCTCAACCACGCCAGCTGAGGATGAGAACGGCAGGCCGGCTTTCAAGAGCTGCCCGAGCCGGCGAAGGCGAGGTGGTTGCCCGACGCCCGGCGGTTCAGGAAGCCATGATGCACGACTCGGCGGGGAAGCTCGACGTCGTGCCGGCCGGGGTGAAGGAGCGCCTGCACGGCATCCCCCCCGGCTATACGGCGGCACCGCATCAACCACGCCGCCAAGAGCAGGGCATCTGCCGCATGTGCCGTGACCAGGGCGACCACACCCGAGCAGAGGCCGGGTCGCCGGCGCGAGGAGGTCCACCGGGAAGGCCGCCTTGAGCTTCGAGCCGGGCAGGCCTCGCCGTATCGCGCGGGTGAACCGCCGGATGGCTTTGCGGAGGAGTGGCTCCACGGGCACGCCGTTGAAGTGCTCCTGATAAGTCACCGCCGCGTCGAAATAATTCTGCGCCGAGCGGTAACCCAAGGTCGCCGCCACGGACCTTATGTTGGTCGCCGTGAGCGGCCAAGGCTCGAGGCCCCAAGCCTCGCACGCCTCGACCCAGGTCCGCACCCGGGACTGAAACAGCGCCTGGGAGGATCTCGCCAGGATGTTTTGGTCGACCTCCGCCAGTGCAGCCTCCCTGTTCTCCGGCAGCGCCGCCTCCAGCGCGAGCCGCTTGGATGCCCTGGCCACGGCCCGGCGTACCGGAATGTCGGGCCGGGCGTCGATCACCGACATGCTGGTTGAGGGCGTCACCAAGTCGGTGGCCTTCGCTAGGGCCTCTTCGACGGAGGCCACCCCCGCCGTCGGCAGCCGAGGTAGCAGCTCGGCCGCCCCGATTTCCAGAAACGCCCGGGCCAATCTAGCGAAGCCCGTCGACGCCGAGAGGTCAACCGCCATCTCGGGGCGGTGGGGGGGGGTTGAGCCGGATCGCGAGCCCTGCTAGAATGCGCCGACAAATAAAAATACCAGGATAAAAAAGAAAGCCGCGGAGAAGAGTTCGAAGCCGGCCGCCGTGTCACTTTTTAACTCAATGCCGGGCAGTACAGTAAACTTACCACGCCGCGGGCTCCTGCTGTGAATGTGCGTCGCCCTCGCCAGGAGAGGCCCGCGAAGGCATCCTGACGCCGGGAAAAATATGCAATCAAAAGAGAAGCCCGCCGGGACACTGACGCAATCCGCCTGCAAGTGCCGCCGGTCGGGGGTTGTTGGGTACCTAGTACCGCCGGTCGCGCGTATTGCGTGCGCGCTGGCAGTTCCGGCAAGGTGCGCCGTCATAGCCGGGGCAAGGGCAGCCGCACCAGCCCACTACCCAAACCTCGCCGGCGATCCTCTCCGGGACCCGGCCGCCGCGGATGTGGGGCGGGAGGGCCCGGATGACATAGTCAGCGGCGCCGGTAGTGATCGGAATCACCGCGCCGTGGCCATCCGGGTCGAGGTCCGCCGCGTCCTCGAGATCCTCCAAGTGCGCCAGGGAGTCCACGATGGACGGCAACATAGCCGCCGGCACCGGGTAGATCGCCCTGGCGCCGGGTTGGTGCATCGCCTCCAGGTGGACGCCGTGCTCCGGGCTGTTTAGCTCGTGATAGATGTCCATCACCGCCCGGAACGCCGCGTCGTTGACATCGCGCTCCGCCTGCGACGCCGTCTTGGAGACTCGCCGGGGAGCATCGGGATACCCCATGCCCGTATCCCGATTGACCGTAATATACCAAACGCCGCGGACCCGCAGGTTGACGAATCCTGGGGGCGCCGGCGAAGGTGGCCGGGCTGAGGTATCCTCCGGATCACTCCCCGTGCGCCTCGCCGGCCCTGCCGGTGGCGCTCCAGCCGCGATCTCTGCGGAAATGGTGTCCTGCATCCTCCGCGGTACGCCTCGGAGCCGGGCCTGGGCGGTCCATGTGAAGACGCCGCCGGGGGCCTCGAGGAAGAAGCCGCCGAGGACGATGTAGGATCCGCCGGCCGTGCTGGATGGAAGGAAGGCTGCTTCGGCTCCGTCGGGGGCGCCTTCGGTGGCGGCCTCTCCGGCTTCGCCGGGTACGATGGCACACTGGCCGGTGCGCCAGGTGTTCGCTGCTGGCCGCCGGAGACTCCGTGTGTCGCCGAAGACACGTGGGATCTGACATCGCCGGGTCTAATGCGGCCGCCGTCATCTGCTCAGGAGCCGCCGGGGGGGGCGCCTGGAACGGAACGGGTGACCAAGTCGTACCGGCCGCCGACAGCTGCGCCACGAGAACATTATCCAGCGCCGGAACAGCGGGGCCAGGTTCACACCGTCCGCCAGGGCCCGCCGGAGCTCCGCCGTGCACTCCTCAATCGAGATGTTCGAAGACGCCGACGACATGGCGCCTGGAGGAGGCTAGCAGAAAGGCTTGAATGGCCGGGCGACGTCGATCCCAAAAGGCAGCTGCGGGATCGACGTTCGCCGGCTTGTCCTAGCACACACAAGTGTGTTACACCACAACAGGAGGTGGCTTCGAGTGGACATGCGGAAACAGGAGTTAACTACGAACCACAGTGTTCAGCGTAAGAAAAGACATCTCTGTTCGTAGTCAAACTTTTGGACCGCCCCCCGACATACAACGTCCAAATATGCAAAACATAAGTATGGAAAACACAGGGAGAGCATCGATTCCTACTGAAGCCCAAGTCCAAGGGTCTCTCATCATCGCGGGGTGCGTACGTGCCAAGCAAAGTTTCGTGCCCGTATCATGAAAGCGTCTGCGGACTGCAAAAAACAACATTGAATGCAGCACCGATCTCTACTCAGCCAACTTGTCGTACCACACATGCAGCATCCCAGAGACCCGAACTGCCAACTAGCTCCCAACCCGATGAAAGCTACCAGGGCCACTCCGTGCTTGGAAGAGACCATAACAAACTTCCTGTCGAAAACTTGGGTCTCGTGCTTCAAGCCAGAAGCGCACATGTCGAATGTAAAGATGTGCAGATTCAAATTAGAAAACTTTTGCTTGCTCGTGCTTGGTCCCAATGGTGGCCCAGGACAACCGCACCACGCCGGTGATGAATGTTGTCCACGCTTCAGAAACGACGACCACACCAGCCCTGCGACAAACACGACGATGGCACCGATATTGTCTGACAAACAACTTGACAAGGTGCCCTTGGAGAGCAGTTAGTACAGTCAGAATTGGCAATCTGGCTAAATGCGGAATGGAACACAGAACGTAAAAGCATGTTGCAACTTGCAGCTGCATGTCGCAATGGCATACAGCACCGCACAGGCACGGTCCAAAGAATGCAACTCTGCACGGCCGACCTCGACGGCTCGCGCAGAGAAGCAGAAGGCCGCGAAGAGCAGACGACGCATCGTTAGCAGCCTTCTTCGGCAGACAGTGCCGGCATCTGAGGATGCAAGAAACCCAAAGCACTGCTGATATCTTGGGATCAACACCAAAACCAGAACTAGTTCCTCAACAGGGTTCATTTACACAGTCACATCTGTCAACAGGTACTTCTCGAAGCCAGTGTGGGTTGAAGGTGAAAGCTGCTTCAGTGTCAATGTCAGGCTCTTACTTGAACCAGATCACCAACAAGGGCGAGTCCGTTGTGGTCTGATCTGCCGGCTCTGCGCACATGCACTCAGCAATTTGAACACCTCTGTTTTCCTATCTTGAATGACACTGCAGATGTGAAACTAAACATTGCTGCTCCACTGAGCAGCTTCGGCTGCAGCAAACGCGCTCTTCTGAGTCCGCTGCCTGCACTCTTCTCCAACAATGCACGGCGAAGCACGTAGCGGTGAGACGGCACAAAAAAAAATGTATGCGTGGCATCATCTGCATTCACATACCCATTCATTAACATGTCACTTGAAGCTAACAACGCGGGAACTCGTCAGCGAGGAGCTTGAAAGTCGCCAGCACCAGCCCTGTAAACATACCCACCTGCAGCGTGAATGCCGCCGGCTCTTGTGAAGAAAGGCAAACCACTTGCAAAGGCTCTCGAGTCTCGGACTGAATGCACTGGCGCACCGGAGATGAAGGTCCTTTTTCAGATGTGTTCCGTGCTGAGCTCAAAGCCGGACAGGAGATGTCAGAGTCTAAGCTGTGCCTGTATGGCGGAGCAGTGGTATCGTAGCACTGCGGCCTCAGCCAGCCGCTATTGCAGCATTCGAAAAGGCATCCCTAGATCATCTCATCACTGCCGGCCTCTCCAAACGGAAGCCATCGCATTGGCCACAGGGCTTGCCCAGCTCTCTCGTTCTGGGTGCAGGCGCGACTCCACTCCCTTGAGATAAGAAAGCAAGCACGAGTCTGACGTGACCATCTGGGGCAAACACACACTGCCGCAAGCACTTCCGCGAACAAGTTCGGAGGCTATTCGGCGCTGGTCCTGTCCAAAGCAACCCTAACATCAGCCTTCGACATCTTCCTACCTGATGTCAAGCTCGGACCCTGAAACCCCATCTTGCTTCCCAGATCGAGAGACAAGAGGGCCTGCGTCAGAAGCTGCGTCTCCACACCTTCCTGGCAGCCAATGCTTGCCAGCTCCCCGATCCACTCATCCCTCGTTGCATGAAAACATCTCCTGAAAGCAGGTTGGCACCAAGGACAGCTCGACCGGAACCTGCAAAGAGACCTGAACAAGAGACCACGCGTGCAAGGCTTTCCTGCTGAGGTTCTAGATGCCCGAAAAAAACTTCAGGCCGGTTCACATCCAGCCATGTCGACACGACACAGACCAGAAAACAAAGAGCAGCATCAATAGCAAACAAGAAGCCTGGAGGCAATCACAGGTCACCCAGCTGCAGCTCAGGTCATCAGCCTCGGTAGTGGCGTCAGCTTCAGAGCAACAACGTCCGCATTTCACGACAGCTCACTGCAAAGGTTTGCAGCTGCAGTGTGATGCACATTGACAAAACCTGTCACAGCCAAGGCGTGGACCAGTGGCCTCGATACGAAGAAGCTGTACCAACAGACCAACAGCACTTTGGCAATCAGGTTGCCACGCAGAATGCCCGAGCACCCGGCTGACAGGACTCTGCAAAGGCTGCTATCCAACGTTCGAAGCGCTGCGGATCCGGACACTGGCCTCCTGGAAGGACGAAGGTCTAGGAGACAGAAATCTGCGCACCAGCGCCAACAACCGCTCGCCGGACAGCAAAGGTTGACCTCATACCCACAAGCAAACACGAAGGATGCACTGATGCCTCCCGGATCTTGTGCCTGGACGGCTCTGACACGAGCAGGGTCTTCAGAAAGCTACCGATTCTTAGGAGAGGGCCTGCACAAGGCCAATCACACCAAGGAATCTGCACAACCGAAGCGAGCGCAGCATCCTCAAATTCGAAGGGAAAACCATCGCCAGTGCAAATAGTTGTCGATTCTGGGGTCGCGGCAGCCCGCACCCTGCTGCGGATCAGAGCAGTCGTCTCTTCATGGAGAATTCTACAAACTTTTCCTGACAAAATATGTTCCTTGGCAGGTATGCGTGCTCTCTTGCGTTCGGCTGTCCAAAAACCAGCTGCCTTGCTTTTGCAAGAGTCTTGCATCTCGTTGCCTACACGGCAGCTGAGCACAGCTCGGAACGGCCATCACCTCGAATCTTTGCAGTGTCAAGCCCGACTCCCCTGCCCGAAAACAACACTTTCGGGCATACGATCTCTGGCAATCGGAGCTGCAACACACTACTCTTTCGACGCGGTGCTTCGGAGATTCAATCTAAACGTCTAGCGTGGGCTTGTTGAAGCGGCGGAAATGCAGCTATCACGACCAGCTAGATCCAAGGTCGACTGGGGCACAACCCACTGCAAACCCGCCAGCACATCCTACACACTTTGCACAATGCACCCTCGGTGCAGCTTATCTTCGGTGCTCTCTGGAAACTCCTGCAGACCGGCAGAGGTGTGGCACGGTCCTCCATACTTCCAAGAGCCCTTGAATGCCCGTGAAGTCCGATCTTCAAGGAGACCCAGCCAAACGGCCTACAAAAGCTCGATGCCCACCTTGCTGGGCGAGGGCTCCGCGTCAAATGCTTGACTAGCTACGAGATACTTTCGGGGCAGAGGAGCCCTCGATTTCATTAGCGCCCGTTTGCACAGGGCTAGCTGGGTCAAAACTGAGCCACGACAGCTCTGTAGCCCAACTTGTCGAGTCTGCACCATCTCACGGCTTCGCGACTTGGCAGTACGACGTGGCACACCTGCATCCTTGCATCCTTTAGCACTATTTCGTGAGCGAAGCCTGTAAAAGTTCAGATGCAGATCAAAGAACTGTCTGAGCATTGCTGCCATTCCAGCCGGCTTCTCCAATGAGACGGTCTGGTCAACTGGTTGAAAGCAAGTGTGATGAAGAGAACATCGAGGCTATATATCCCAGACGTTTGGAGTGCACACCACCAGGCCTCTGACATTCCCCCACCGCCTACAACCCCTTAAAAAGAATAAAACCCTAAAGCCCTAAACCCTAAAACCCTGAACCTTAGAACCTGCAACCTACAAATACTAAACCCTAAAGGCCTATAACCCCACAAGCCGAGCCCTAAAAAATGTGACTCCGAACCCTGCACTATGAAATCCCTGAATCCTGAAAGTATTAAACCCTGCTTTTCCAAGGCTGGAAGGGAAACTGCGTTTGCAGAAGCCGTGCTCACATGCCGAAGAGCTGCCCGAGCATGGGATTGGCATACCTTCCACACTAAAACAAATAAAAAGTGACCGTCACAAGGCCGTCATCCATGGAAGGCTAACACAACAGTCTCTCTCAGCGGGCGCACTGCATGGGACGAACATTCGGATGAGGGACATGCGCAAAGGAAGTATATTTTGGCCTCGAGGCAGGTGATAGAGAACATGCGAAGACGAAAGGCTCTGTAGATCACGCTTTTTGTCGCGTCATCCCGCATCTGCTGGAAGCTCCCACCAACAGAATGTCAATGCCAGTGAAAGAACTGTTGCATCACACACCTCCTCTACATGCCCCACTTCTGCAAGCCATGCCCATCACCAGGCCAGTCAACAACGGTTCAGGCAGCTCCAAGCCGCTGACGTCATCGTTTTACCGTCCAGTCTGATGAAAGCACCCTGTCCACAAACTTCAAATGCTGTGAAGTGAAGGAAGAAAAATTCACATGCGCGCTGGACGAAGCATAAGAACACAGCATCAGTTCTGCTTCTCAGGCAGAACCACTCCGTCAGAATCGGGGGCCTTGTTGCCCATCTGGTCACAATAGTTCGGAGCGGAAAAGACTGTGACAAGTCGGCCGGAATGCTCGATCTCATAGCCTTGCAGCATGCAGACCGTGTCCAGCTTGCATGGTCCAGGACCCTACATCCAAGACATGATACCTCGTGTCTAAGTGCTTCGGATGAGATCTCGAAGACGCACACGAAAGACTTCAAGTCTTCTGCGCACACTCGAGGCAAAGCGAAAGAAAGTTCTGTCTCAAGCGAGAGGCACGTCAGGCCTTAAACCTCTCTACAGCCCAGCACGGACAAAGACGTTCGACTGGGAGCCAGGCCTTCCTCCTTCATTTCGTGGCTACCTTCAGACAAGGCATCGGGTCGACTGTCTCGTGCTCTCCGCACCAAGGTCAGTTGCAAACCGAGTGACGTATGACCATCTTCAGGTTGTTCGTTTTCAGGAAGTTCTCAGTGACATCCTCAGGGCGGCAAGGGCAGCGAATTCTGTCCTCCAGTGCTTCTGATGGAGCTTGCACCAGTTTCGAACCCGCGGCTCCTGACCGAAAGCGACACCAACACCTCGCTTTGACGGCTGACGGCCTCAACCGCTTTCGAGATCGGGGAATGATGAGACGAGCTTGGTTGACAGTCGCCGCATGAACCTGTGCGGTAAGGCCGTGCAGCCTCATAGCAGCTAAAGATGTAACCCCATGGAACGTCTGGTAAACATTGCCTCCTCGCAGCCAAAACTGCGAGTACAGCCTTCGTGTCTTGTAACTCTAGAGCCTCGGGACCTAGTCTACAGTCCTGCCTGTGCCTGCATGCCTCATGTCGCAGAGATACGACGGCAGCAGATGCTTTGGTTCAGGCGTATAAAAACCGTATAACCCTGCCAGCATGCTTGGTCCCCCCTCTTCGCCACACAGCTCTCACAATCTCTCACAGACAGCGGCAAGCGTCTGTCCCGCTTGAAGTCCGGAGAAAAGCAACACGAATTCACATCCCTTCTCATCCAGTTTTGTTTTGAACTCCGGGCAAACTCAAAACCTCTTCCCGACCTCGTCCCGGTTGCGGATCGCTCCACAACCTGGCAAAACAAAAAAAAAAAAAAAACTTCTCAAGCACTGCAGGGCTGTGATTGTGCGGAAGGTGTGTCGCGTTCCTACTGCCCCAACTGGCAGGGAGCG